TTAATGATACTTATAATTTAAACTTTTAATAATGTCGATCATCTCCAAAATTTGTGTTGAAATTTAGTTGATTTGTAATTATCGGATTGATTTTTAATTTCTGATTTTAATTGTTTCACATATATTTTAAACTTAACACCTTAATTATGTAATATTGATTTGAAAAAAACGCCATTAGCCGATCAATCAGATTTGCATTTCTTATTTAAGTTACATAAATAAAGTGCATGCATAAATTCTGTTGAGCCACATTACCTTTTAGGATATGCGATGAATAATAAATTAATATTTATAGAGATTTTTCTTACTCGACTTGCCTACAAAATAAATTACTAATACATCTTGTGGTTAAATTTTTAACAAATTAAAATGATACCGATATATTTTGCTTTATTTGTTTTGAAAAATAAATCAGGATCTTATCTATCGCATCAATTACTAAAATCGAAACCATTCATCTAAATGTGGAATTTAATTAAAAATTGCCATTTTACTGCAGAATCATTTAAGGCATTTTTCATATTATGCGATTCACTAATTTTTATTATTGTAATCGATTCTAACATTCGATTTGATTTGTGACGCAGTATCACAATTTTTTAACGGGTAAACAAATTCCAATCTCTACTTAAGATGCATCATTCGATTTATCATAATCTATATGATTGTTGGGAAATTTATTTTAAGATTTTAATCTTGAACTTGATAAAATAGCAAAGTTTAAATGATGTCATAAAATAAAAAACAATCCGAAGGTTCATAATCACCAGACGGCCGACAGTCAACAATCCTGACTTGTCAAGATTACAATAACAGAACCCCGAAGATTTATATATTTAAGTTTGAAAATAATGTTAGATGTTATTCGAGGCTTTATAATAAATTCATGCGTAAAAATATTTATTAAAAATTCTTTATGTATTATTGAAATATTCTGCGCGTAAAAGTTATTAATAAAGACATTAGAATATATTATTCATTCATCTTTCTTTGAAATAATTCACGTGTTTACTTCAACTCCTTGATAATCAGGAAAAATGAATCAGTTTATATTAAATTTTATTGAGTAAAAACTATTAATTTGAATAAAATGAACTGTTATAAAAAATTGAGAAGATATTATGCTGATATCAAAAGGTAAATCTTCAAGCACAACTTGAATAATGTTCTGATTATAAGTAGTTAAATAGAATGAATTACTTTGAATTTGCATTTGCATTTAGAGTTCATGATATAATAGTTGATTTATCAGTTATATTTTCTTTTTAATAAAGTCGTTACATGTATTAGTGCTAATGAAACAAACAAATTCAATATGCGGTTTTAATAATACATATTGCGTATATTGCATGTAAAACGCGAAAAATTTTAGTAAAAGGAAAATATAAATAAGCAACCTACAAAGCTAAAAAACAAGTTATTCTGATTAATTCGAAAGTGTACTTAAAATAAATAATTTATTGAGCAGGTTTTGTAAGTCTTATCCCGTAACTTTAAAAAATATTATTTAAATTTTAGAAATAAAACAACCTTAAATTTCCAGTTGAATATGCTTGTAATATATTTAAAGAGTACGTATAAATAATACGGCAAATCCTTCTTATGTTCCCATTAAAGATTGCATGGCGAAATCCTAATCACATTTTGGAAGAGTCGAAAATAATTTTGAAAGTTTCGATGGACTTTCGATATTTTTGATTTGTGATTTTTCGATTTCCATATTAGGTTGTATTTTAAATTGTCTAATAAAAAAAGTGATATAAATTGAAAATTTTATTTGCCATAACTTTTCTTTGTTTCAATTTATTTTTTTTTTTGCATAACAAATATCATTGGTTATATCGTAATAATAAAATATCAGTGTCTCATAAGACGGGTTAAATTTCTAATCTTTTTAAATGAAAAAGTAAGTTTGTCAAAGCTACTTTTACAATAATTTTAGCGTTTGACCTGCAATGAATAGTTGTTATTAAAATTTATGTTGCCTTAGATATTGTTTCGGACAGAGGTTTTAACATAATGCTCAAAATTAAAAAATTCCAATTATTAAATTAAGTTAATTTCAAAAGGATGTATAAAATATGCACCCGGATATTGTAATTGATAATATCATTTTAATATCTTATGGATATTGCCACCCGTCGAAACTTTCTTTAATAAAAAATTTCATAATTGACGAAATCTTTGACTTAATTGAATCTTTATAAATTTATGATGACTCACTAATTAAAAATTTTATAATCGTAGTTTTTGTTATTTGTGTAACTATTAACGTCAATTTTTTGAATTCATCGCTTTTAATTAAGTTTTTAATGTTGAAATATAATTATTATTTGTAAGACGTTTATTAAAATTTAACAATAAAAGCGTTATGATGAATTTCTTTTGTACACAATTTATTATCTTGATATAGAAAATAATTTAAAAAAAAAATCTCGTTATACGTGAAAAAATAGTAAAAGAATTTGGGACGGATGATAATCTATTTTGTTTATACTCAGTCATATAACTTTTTTTACTTACAGATAAGTAATAGTTACTCGGCACTTCGTGCCGAGTAACTGTTGTATTTGCAATAAGAATATGATTCCAACCAATCATATTCTTATTGCAAATACATGTAAGGCACGGCAGTGCCGCAGTTACGAGGTCACTTAGTGCCGAGTAACTGTTTTATCGGTTTATACAAAATAGATTAATTTAAAAACTTTATTAGATTAAACTATTTTTCATAAGAACAAATGATATTTCTTTTTTCTTTTACGCGTCTTGTTTTTCCCAAAAAAATTTTTTCTTTTGATAATATAAATGACACAAAATATTTCATCTAAAGGTAATCAATTACCCTCCCTTGAACAACTATCAGCACTTGCGAAAGGTAGAGTTCCTCAAAACACAATTGTCAAGAAAGTGACGATAGTTAAAGAAATATTATAAAAATTGCACTTTCAATAATAAATTAATAAATAGTTATTTACAATTTGAAATAATAACTAATTGTACTAGCAAAAATCATCAATTAGTAAATGACCGATAACTCCTTTTACTTTGCACGATAAACCATCTCGTTGCACTTGTTTTGTTAGTTTGTATTTGAAATTCTGTACGAGTTTCGAAATAACTTAGAAGAAAAGCTCATATTCAAGCGACGTTACTAATATTCTAAACTATAATAAATAAAATGTCGAAAGTCAAAACTACAGTCGAAAATCAATATCGAACATAAGAGTCTTTGGCTATTTGTTAAGGTAAATTTTCCCCGAATAGTAATATATTCAAATTCCCTTAAAAAGTGTTTATCGACGATCACAAAAAAAATCTGGTGTAACCGTTTATTGAATTCTTGTAGGTATTACAAAATAAGAAAGAGAGTATTTATTATATTACACTAGTTTTTGCTTCGCAAATAGAGACACACCATAAAACGTAGGTACTTTTCTATTGGCAAGGGTTAAACAGGCATATAGTGAGACAATTAATAGTTTTTTTTTTCAATAAAAGATATCTATTTGTTGACCTTATTTACAAATTATGTCACTTAAAGATTTATATTTTCTTTATTTACAGACTTTATTTGAATAGAAGTTTTATCAGCCTCCCTCATTTTAAAAACGGATACCGAGATTGTTTACTCTGGCTTGTTTGTTTGACTTTGAAAATATAAATATTAAGATCTATGTACTAAGATAAAAATTAGTGGACCAAAAATCTGCTTTAAATAATTCAAATTAGCGTCACCTTAGATCAACCAGGTCTTTGATTTTATCATAATATTTATATTTGGTTTCATTATATGCTTGATTTGACTAGAGGATTGTGAGCATTGGTTCCTAAAGATAATAAATAGCCGCTTAGGGAAATGCCGACATTAATAATTTTGTTGTATGAAAAAATTAAATTTGAATTCTGACTTCAATTTAACAAACAAGTTTATTTAATTTTTTAAATAAAATTACTATTTTGGTTCATAATTCGACACCATCAAAGAATCAAGAAATTATACAAATGTTGAAGACGCGGTAACACCAAAATTATGAAGCGTAACAATATTATGCATTATGAATTGTTTTTAACGTAAAGGAAGATAAGAAAAATGATTTGAGATATCTTTATATCGTTCAAACTAATAATTTACATTATATGCTTTTTGTATTAATCGAAAGAAACTAAAGGCGAATGTTAAAACTTTGAAACCTATGGCGAAATATCTCAATTTCCTGATTATTATCAATAATATATGCCATATTCTAAATCCATAACTTGAAAATATCTGATTTTTCATCATTCTTCATACCATGATGATGTTCATTAGAAAAATAATTATCTCTTATTTCTTTAGTTATTATACCTCGTTCATTAGTTGTCATAAATCATTCCAAAATTCGCTTAGAGCTAAATTTATAAAATGACCGATTTTGTTAAACTAATACTTTTTCATAAATTAGTAATTAAATTACTCAAGTTATAGGCATTTTTAATTTTTTTTATTATATGATACGTACGTTTAATTTTAATAATTTCTTTAGATTACACAAAAAAATTATATATTTTTTGATTGTATGAACTATACTTACATAAATAATTTAATATACTTTACAGAAACTTTGTTTCCTTACAATGCAGTAACTGCATAATCCTATTAGGTTGCGATTAAGCTACTACTAAGTAAAGTAGTAACTATATATTTACTATATAGTCACTTTGCAGTTACTACGAATTAAGAAAACCAAGTTTCTGTAAAGTAATACTTGAATAATGATTGATAATGATTATCGATTCGGCGAAAATCGCAAAATATTTTATTATTTTTATGAAATTTTCGGGACAATGAAATCGAAATGTTATTTAAAGGCTAAGATTTTAAAAATCTATCAAACTTACTTTCTGCTCGCGCAATTATAATATTCTTTAAGTCTTTAATTATTTTACTTAATATATGCGAACGATGTCAGTAAAATTGTCATGAGTGAGAAAACTAGAGTAAATCATATGATATGTAATCAGAATTTATTGGCAACACCCTGATTTATTTTACGATTAATTAAACGGGTAGTCATATTAATCGAATAAAGATATGGCGAATGCTCTGCCGTGTTTTCTTTATGAAATCTAGATATAGTATATTTACTGTATATATATTAAATGTATTTCGTAATAGAATCACATTACTATAAGTTGTAACTCTAATAACATACAAATTATAATATGTATACATATTGTTAATCAAAAAGATAAACAACAATACCAATGAATTAAGTTTGTTAAATTTATGCAAAACAATTACGAACTGTCGATCCAAAAATAAACAAAAAAATATCGTTATACTATTTGCCCTTATTTACTAAAAATGATATTTCTACATAAATTCTCAGATGTCTTTTCAATTAAATAGAGATCCTGATTATACGAGATCCGTCTTGATACCGGGAGAATTGAATCGAAAAAATATTTTAATTTTGAAAGATGTTTAGATTGTGGTAAGGAACAAAGCAACATTGGATGGTGTAAAGAATGTGAAATAAATGCATTTAAAGAAAATTTTAAAAATTGGACAAGTGGCAATATTGATATCGATGATTTTATACTCAATTAAACGCTACTGCAAGTGTAGATTACTTGGAATATATTGATTTTGAGCAATTTGACCTTATAGAAAATACGAATAAAGGCGGAGACTTTAGTACGATTTATTCAGCAATTCGAATGGAAGGACCTCGATGGATTTGGGATGAAGAGGCTGAACAATGGACACGTAACGGACCAATAAAGTTGCTTTAAAAGACTTAACAATTCGTAAAATATGAGTGATGAATATTTAAACAGGTATGATATATTTAATTCTTGTTTAAAAATATTTCTTAGAATTTTTTTTAGTAATTTTTTCTATAAATTTTATATAAAGCTTTACAGATAATGTATCATCATTGTCTACAAAGCGGAAGTGTTGCGGATTTTTCGGAATAACAAAAGACCATGAGGAGTTATATTCATACGATAAAGTACACTCCCCGGTCAAAAGTATTGGACCACTTTAAAATTATCGCAATTTTTAAATTTAATAGCCAATTTAATTTTTAATTATGAAAAATTTTAATAAGTAATTTTACACAAAATTTTTTTTTATTTTATTCATAAAAACAAATTTTTATAAAAAAATTAATATTAGTTGGATAACCATTGCTATCTATTACAGCTTAAATTCTTCTTAGCGCATTTATACTAAATTTTCTAAAGGTCTGTTTCAATTTCATTCCATTTTTCCTTTAAAACAATCATTAAATCCATAGAACTTCAATCCTACATTAATTAGGATTTGCAATCCTAAAATTGTAGTCTTATAGAACTTAAAGATCTGTAGTCTTAAAACTACAGTCTTAATAATATAATATAAAGTTTATTCTACTAAAACATTATAGACAAAAAACATTCTAGTTAAATAATAAAAGATTGTTCTTATGAATAATAATGTACCATTAACTAGAATGATAAATTATTTAACTAAAAAATAAAAATCATCTTACTTGAATAATAAAAAATCAATCAAGAAAGAATAATCAAAATCATTCAATTAGAAAATAAGAAATCATTTGATTTAGATAATAAAAAAATTATTTAAAAGAAAAATGAGAAACCATTCAACTAATAAAAATATTCTTTTTAAATGAGTATATATCATTTAACTAAAAAAATAAAATTCATTTGACTTAAATAATAAAAAATTGTTCAAAAAATGGTTTATTATTCTTGAATGATTTTATCATTTTTGAGTAAATTTTTTATTATTTAGTTATAATAATTTATTATCATTTTTAAATAATAGCTTTATTATTCTAGAATGATGTTTTATCATTCTTAAATAATGTTTATCATTTAATTAGAATGATTTATTATTGTTATTAAATAATATTTATTATTTAATTAGAATGATTCATTATCATTCTTGAATAATATTTTATTATTTAATTAGAATGTTCTTTATCATTCTTTAATATTTTTATTATTCAATTAAAATAATTCATTTTTATTTTTAAACAATAGTTTTATCATTTTTGAATGATATTTTTATCATTCAATTAAAATAATTCATTATTGTTTTTCTTAAATAATAGCTAATTATTCTTCTTGAGATCAGGTCAGGTTAGATCAAATAAAAATTAAAATTAATCAGATTTAGTTTAACCTGATCTAATTGTAACTTGATTGACCTGATCTGAACTAACTTGTTTAAAGCTTTAATAATACTTCATTATTTAAAAAGAACAGTTCTTTATTATTTAGTTAAACGATACATCATCGTTCATAAAAAACAGTCTTTTATCATTTAACTAGAATTTTTATAATCTATAATATTTTTAATAAACTGAATTTTATATATTATTAAGACTATAGTTTTTGATTCACAAGTCCTAATTTTTATAGGATTAATATAACAAACATAAGCTTAATTTATTATTATTTAAAATAATCATCACATATTAAATATATATTAAAAGATAATCATCTACCTTTAAATAGATTTACTATATTAAAATGAATTCATAAAAGTTGTGATAAAATATTTTTAAAATATACCTTTTGTTTTATAAACTAATAAAGCAATTTAATAAAAAGTAAGATAATTCAGAACTAGTTAATAAGGATTTCTTTGCAATATATATATATTTATATAGAAAAAAAGAGATTAAAATTTGAAATTATACTTTAAAATGTATTTTTATATATTTTTTAATATATATTTATTTATACTAAAAGAGGTAAATAATATGTTTTTAAGGCTACTGTGTTCTAAAAAGTTATATAATTTGATTTTTAACTAATATATTTATTAATAACTTAGAAGTATTTTATCTTACTTATATATAAAAAGAGAAGGTTAATTATTTTTAATAAATAATAAATAATACAGTCAACTCTTGATATACCGAACTCTTGATTAACGAATTTTTTAAAATATAATAAATACTCTTGTTATATTGAATTAGCCAATCAAATCTCTTAAAATCTTCACTAATAGCAAAGTTGAGATCTAGGATATAGGATTTATTATAATAAGAGTTGATTATATATGACTATTCTTTCATATTTTAATTTTATTGTATAATTTGATTTAAATTTTTGAATTTAATACTAATAATGAATTATTATTCAGATAAATATCTAAATGTATTTTTACATTAATATAATTTAATAAAAAATATTTAAATTTTTTTTCTAATTTCTTACTTGTTAAAGATAATTTGATCCTTTTTACATAATATTTTCACTAAATAATAATAATTTCAGACTTAAAAAATGATGAACACAGTATCATCCACTAAAAATGGTAACCAGATTTATTTACCAGGTATTTCTTATTAGGATTAGGATTAGGTAGAATTATGATTAGTTAAGAGGGTTAGCAAAATTTTCACATCACATCACATCCCAGCCATTCTTCAATTTACTAAGTACAGTATTCTGGGGACAGAATTTTTTTGTGAGAAAATGCTAATTTTCACTATTATATATCACCCCTAATAAGTATATGTGACCTGGCAAATAAAATCCACTATTTTTTACGAGCGATGCTAGGACGGTTCTTAAAAAATTAATTTTCAAAATGTATATTCACGTGATTTGTTATTAGCCAATCAAATTAGTGTATGATTAGCCAATCACAGAAAAAGTCCGCTATGCTTATAGGACCACGGTCCTAGGACCGCAAGTCCTAATTTCTGTAGGACCACTGCAGTCTCAGGATCTGGCCCTAGAATCCAGTCCTAGGACCCAAGTCCTATGGACAGGACTGGATTTTAACATCCCTAGTCACGTTTATGATCGGTTATGACCGTGATTTGTTATGAATAACGAATGATTGATCATCATTATTAAATTATTATATAATCTGATAATTTACGTAATGGTTTACGTAATGGTTTTATTTGTGATTTTCAATATTTACAGTAGATTTACTTTTTTATTTTTTTTAAACATGTCCGAAACCGATAGGAACATTTCCAGATATATACCACCGTGGCGAATACTGCTGTGACTTCCACACGCTCACCCTTGCCCATTCCTATGCACAAGTTCTTAATTGGTTATATGAGAAGATTGCTAGAAAAACTAGGCTCTGGGAATTTTTAAAAAATTTTGATGTTTATTGCATTTTAATTTTTGATGCTATTAGATTAAAATTTAATAAGGTCTTAATTTAAAAAAAATTCCTAAAGCCTGCCTGAATGTGATGCGATTTAATAAATTTTATTATAAAAGCTATCAATGCAATTAATCATTTAGTTCGATTAATCGATTATAATCGATTTTATTTTTGCGGCGCAACTATTAATTTGTTCACATTTTAATAAAGTTATTTGCCAAATGTTTGAACTGCATTACTATTAACCTGTTAACAGGTTAATAGTTCCAACCTATAAAGTAGATTCGATTTTAATTTGTTTAATATTGATTTTGGTAATAGAATAATTTGGTGCGATAGATAGAATCTTAAGATCTATTTTTTTTTTTTGAAAAAAAGCAAATAATATCGGTATGAGAAAGATGGGATTCTTCAGTTGTGAAAATTTTTATTTGTTATACAGGCGAGTCATGAGATATGCATAAGTATGAAGATTTTATGAGGCCGAGATTTAACTTATTGAGGCTATTGATGCAGTATATTTCTAAGCCTTTCGATAATTTTTTTTAAATCGATTGGTCAATATTACTCGATTAATGAGACAAAAAAAAAGCCATCTCCTCAGATATAAATAAATTTTTGATTTGCAGACAGGCTTTCAATTGCAGCACCTTATCATTCATTTGTCACAAATAAAGCTTTTTAATTTAGAATTAGTGTATAACAAATGTTATTGATCGTTATGAGTCTCGTTTAAAGCTTGGATTAGACGAGAGGAATTGTGACAACCTTGCATTTGTTAGAATAACCGCTTGAGTTCAAATAATGACATAATAAATTCGAATGATTGAATGAGTTAGATTTCCCTAATGGTTTAATAGAAATGAAAGATTTGCACTTTCTTCCTTGGCTCAACAATGAAAATAATAAAGAAGCAAGAATAAGTAAAGATTACTGGAAAAAAAATTTACGTAACACAAAATTGGTAATATCCTTTGAGGGAATTTTGCCTGGAAAAACATCATAGCATGTGAAAGTCTACAGACGAATGATAGATTATCAATATGGATTTGCGCGACAATTATTTTGAAATATCAAAAGAAATCAAAATGTTATATAAAGGCTAAGATGTATACTTTACATCTCGGTCAAAAAGTTCTCCACTTAGCAATTTATTAGTAATCAGATAGACTTATTAATTTAAGTACGTTCTTATTAACTAAATTCTTTGGTTTTTTTTTTTTTTTTTTTATTATTAATTATGAATAAAGTTCATTATCGTGTCGATCAAATAACAAAGTTATATAAATACTAATATGATATTCTACATAAATGCTCAGATGTCTTTACAATTAAATAGAGATCCCGAATTCGGTTTAGAATTAAATGGCAAAAATAATTTTGAAATATGTCGGATGGTGTCAAGAATGTGAAATAAATGCCTTTAAAGCAAATTTTAAATATTGGACAAGCGGCAATCTTGAAATAGATAATTTTATTAGATATACCCAATTAAATGCAACTGAAAGTATAGATTATTTGGAATATATTCATTTTGAGCAATTTGATCTTGTTGAAGATACAAATAAAGGCGGAGCCTTTAGTACAATTCTTTCAGCAGTTTGGATGGAAGGTCCTCGATAGATTTGGGATGAAGATGCTGAACAATGGACACGAAATGGACCAATAAAATTTGCTCTTAAAAGACTTAATAATTCACAAAATATTAGTGAAGAATATCTGAATCAAGTAAGTTAATTACTTAAAATATTTATTTATGGTGAATACATTAGCATTTTATAAATAACTTTTTGTTTGATTTTATTAGCTTTATAAATATCATAAATGTTTACAAAGCGGAAGTATTGCAGATTTTTTTGGAATTACCAAAGATCTTTCCTCAAATTACATGTTTGTTATGAGATATTATGAAAATGGAGATTTGCATTCGTATATTGATGAAACACAAGGTATGCTTTATTGGAGAGATATTGTTGAAATACTTTGGGAAATATCTGGTGGAATTGAGTATATCCATGAAATTGGGTTAATTCATGGTAACCTTCATGGAGGCAATGTGTTAATTGAAAATGAATCAGGTTCAATATATATACATATTGTTGACGTAGAATTAAATTGTCCGGCTAAAGATAACAATACAAACGAAAGATATGGAATTCTTCCTTATGAAGCACCTGAGGTTTTGAAAGGAATCTCGGCAACAAAGGCTTCAGATATTTACAGCTTTGGAATTATCATGTGGACACTTTCAGCAGGTAATTGTCCATGGTGTAATAGACCACATGATCTTACATTAGCCACGGAAGTTTGTTCCGGACTTCGACCTGAAATTATTGATGGAACTCCAGATGCTTATATTCAGTTGATGTCGCAATGTTGGAACTCTGATCCATTGAAACGTCCAACTGCATCTCAATTATATGAATTGCTTGGAAACTGGTTAACTGATATTTGCGAAGACCCTGCACAGTCCGAATTATCTGATCAAATTGATATTGCTGAAGTGAAAAGGATCTTGGATTTAGAAAAAAACAAATTCAACCAACAAGAAATCCATCCAAAAGCAATTTATACAAGCAGGCACTTATATTTTCCCGAATTAATTGATTCTACTAGAAATGACGAATAGATAATAGGAAAACTTTAATTGGCAAAAAATAATAACATAATTTTGAATGTAATTGGCATTTATTATGATTCATTTTAATAAGACAATACTTAAGTTTTATATGCATTAATTATTTGTAATTCAATATTATTCTCTTTAAGTAATTAAGGAATTTTTTATATATAGAATATAAACAAAGAAAATATGATTTAATTGAATGCTGTCAGAAAAGAAATCAACAAAAGGTCGATTTTGTTTTATATAAATAGAAATCATTTAAGCTTTAATAGTATTATATTATGTAATACGATTTGAGATTTGTTTATCAAAAAAAAGAGTGCGGTACGATAATAAAATTAATAACTTATAGATTTAACGAAATTTTTTGATTAACGATATTTTTGCATTAAATTAAAATAAAAAAAAAAATATTGCTACCTAAAAAGATTAAAGAAATAATTTAAAAGTTTATCCAATGTTTCAGTGATTCTACTGATTAAGAAAGATAAAACTTCGGCATCTTAAAAAGAGAACAAAAAACGAGGCTTTGGACAATGCGTGCTGATTGGCGCAGCAATAAATATTCCAGTAAGTTGAAAATATCATGCACTTGTTTAGTGGCTGGTTATTTTTCTATACATTTGCAAATGACTTGGATCACCATAATTACTATAATTAATAAACTAAAAAAATAATTTACTAATTTAAATAATATAAGTATCTAACATCTCTTTTTAAAGTAAAAAAAATTATGCAAGGATTCACTAATTTTTATAATTGGAATCGTTTCTAACACTTCGATTTGATTTGTGGCGCATTATCACAATTTTTTTTCTTAATTTCGGTCGGAGGTAAGGTTTATTGAAAAAAAAACTTTAACCGGTAAACAAGTTAACAGTTTCAACCTCTAATATGGAATCGATTTTTTTTTATATATTATGCAACGGTTAGGTCACATAATCAAGAGCAAATGCAATTAATATAAATTTCCATATTTAGATGAGTGTAATAAAACGAAAGATTTTCAATTTTGTCAATAGATAAATTTAAAATTTTGTAAATTTTGTATAACGATCCTATGATCTATTTTCAAAAACAAAATAAAGCCAAAATATTCTTCGCCACAGATGTAAAAGTAATTTATTTGAAGGGGTCTTGATTGAAATATAATCTGTAAATATTAATTTATCGTAATCAATTTTAATGAATGATTATTCATCAATATAAGAACATTCATCTTTTAATGCAAAACAAAAAACATGACACATCATATGGCTTAATGATGTCATTATTAAAAATAAACAAAATGAAACTCAATATCGGGATTTTCATTTCTTAATTTGGTAACATAATGATATCATAATAATTAAGTACTTTTTGTGTAATGTATGACAGATGATTTGAATGCAATTCATAAATTGTATAAATTTTAGCTATCATGGCGCATGGCGCAGCATGACGTGTTAATTGAATATGGTAGTCTAAAATAACAATATATATATATGATTAAGAACTTCAAATACGAGCGGTTTATCGAGTAGAATTTATTATTAAATATATTAAATGCATAGCATAATCAGAATTGATTGTCAAATGAACAACGAGATTTTCTCTTTATATTGAGAAAAATTAATAAAAGAAGCTCACCATAACGCTTTGATTTTTTAATATTATATTTCAAATGAATATCGAAGCATATAATCAAATGCTGTAAATTTATTTAGACAACTCATTTATATAAATATAATGTCCTTTGATATTAGTAAAATGAGATGATTCAAAAGTTGACTTTTAAGATTGTCTTATTATTGCTACACAAATAATAAAAACTATGCGCGAAAAAAAATTCTCTAGAAAACGATCTATATTTCTGCAATTGCAATTCTAATATTATGTTTTAATATTCAGGCGTTATTAATTAATTTGAGAGAAACTTAATTTTATTATGTGTTTAATAAATAAATGTTAATATGAATAACGTGCTTCTTTGAATTTCTAACGAAAAATCATATTTAACTATAGCGCAATTAATTTATAATTGGAATTGAGAAGGATTTGCCAAGAATTTACGCGTTTTGGGTTATACTAGAAGTTGTATCCGGATTTATTTACTCCGGTTCCTTCAGATTGTTAGAATTTTTTTTTTTATTTTTGTTCTAAAAAGGTAAAAAACAATTCAGTCAGTCATATTGTCAAATAAGAGTGAATAAATTTTATAAAAAAAATTTGCACCTCTATCCAATATATAAATTTTTTTTATTTTTTTAATCTTTCCTAAACTTTTTATATAATAAGTTGTAATATTTATTAAAACAATCTTTTAGACCATATTTGCATAACTATATTTTCGAATTTTCCGGATTTAAACCTGAACGGATATAATATATCGTTTATTTTTGTCGATCACGAAAATATTTATGCCTAAAAAATTAACAAATCTTTATATAGCTTACACTTTCAAACATATTTAACTGAAATGTTTTAAGGTCGTGTATTATTCATAGCAAAATTTAAGTAATATTTTATTTTCTAAGATTACGGGATTAGATTAATGAATAAATGAATTCTAATTCAGTCTTTATCATGCCATGCGTTAAATTAAAAGAATAAACATTATCGATTTCTCGATATAGATTGATTGACTCCATTAAAATAACCAAAAAAAAAAAGATCGGCGAAGCTAAAATTAGAAAAAATAATATTACACAGGTAGGGGGTGATTTATAATCCTGATTAAAAATAACCAGCCATATGACATATAATAAAAATTTGAATGATACTTTAATCATTGTTCATTATAAAAAAATAAAGGGATACTGGGTTATCGTGTAAAATACCTATTATCTTTATAATAAAAAAGGCGATGGTTCATAACAATGACTTTTTTGAGATCAACAGCGGTATTACACGAATAATAATTATACTGCGCGAACTGAAATAAATTCAATATATGGTAAATCGAGTTACTAACATAGTAAATCATATGATCCGTAACATGATTACCTCCCATGTGAAAAGGGGAAAATATGAAAATTTTGACCTAAGCGTCAAGCAAAATTTAAATTTCCCCTTACCCACCGGTTTTTATTTTTTTATTCTATTCATATCATGATTATGGTTTAATTAAATGACGTATGTTACACCAAAATTATCCTTAATCCTTAATCATTACGCAATGGTGATCAATGGAAAATTCGATCCTAATATAGTTTCAGTGAGCTTGAGATGTATTTAAAAGTCCATTTTTTGTCTAGATGAACTTCATAAAAATAAAAAATCTTTCGATCCGTTTTAATTTAAGTTGTAAGTATGAAAGGTTAATGTCCCGGGTATATGGGCGGTTTGCTATTAAAATCACGTTACGGATCATATATGTTCGTAACTCGATTTTAATTTGTCAAATGACCCATATTTAGAAATCAGCTTCTGAGAATGTATTGGCAAAATTAAAAATTTTTATTGCATTTTAATCATTTTAACCCAATAACATAAACTAAAATGCTATAAAGATCTTAATTTTGTTAATATTCCTAGAACTTGAATTATTCAAAATATTATAATTTATTAATAATGACTTTTTCAACAAAATAGGATTTTGTTGTTATGAATTTTGCTTTAAAATCTGAAGGTACTTTAAAAAGCAAATATAATGTAACTTTTGGGCAATGTTTGGAATGTGCAAAAGAACAAAGAAGCATGGGATGGTGTGAAAAATGCGAGTCTAATGCCTTTAAAGCAAATTTTAAAAATTGGACAAGCGGCAATCTTGTCATTGATGACTTAATTCGGCATACTCAATTAAACACAAGTGGAAGTGTAGATTACTTGGAATATATTGAATTTGAGCAATTCGACCTTGTTGAATATAAAAACAAGTCCGGTGCCTTTAGTACAATTTATTCAGCAATTTGGTTAGAAGGTCCTCGACGTATCTGGGATCATCACGCCGGACTATGGACACGTAATGGACCCATCAAAGTCGCTCTTAAAAGACTTAACGATTCACAGAACATAAGTAAGGAATATTTGAATCAAGTTAGTAATAAATTTTATAAACATTTGTTATTAACCTTTTTAAACTTTTAAAATTTAATAATATTATGTTTAAAATTTATAAAGCTTTATGAATATCATCATTGCCTACAAATTGGAAGTATCGTAGATTATTTTGGAATAACTAAGGATCCTACTTCGAATTATATGTTTGTTATGAGTTACTATGAAAATGATTTATATTCATATCTTGATGAAGCACAGGGGACTATTTGTTGGAGAGATACAGTTGAAATGCTTTGGGAAATATCTGGAGGAATTGAGTATATCCATGAAAATGGGTTAATTCATGGTAACCTTCATGGAGGTAATCTATTAGTTGACGATAAACAAGATTCCATTGATATACATATTTCTGATATGGGATTATATGGTCCTGCTGATAAGAAAGAATCCAATGATATATATGGAGTTCTCCCTTATGTTGCTCCTGAAATCTTGCAAGGAAATCCACCAACGAAAGGATCGGATATTTATAGCTTTGGAATTATTATGTGGACACTTTCTGCAGGTATTCGTCCATGGTGTAATAGACCACATGATCTTACGTTAGCCACGGAAATTTGTTCCGGACTTCGACCTGAAATTATTGATGGAACCCCAGATGTTTATACTCAATTAATGAAACAATGTTGGCATTCTGATCCTTTAAAACGCCCAACTGCATCACAAATATGTGAATTGTTAGAAAGTTGGATTACAGCTATATGTGATGAACCTGATCAATCCGAGTTATCTGACCAATTCGATATTGCTGAAGAAAAGAAATTTTCAGATTTAATAAAAAGCAAATTTCGCAAACAACAAATCCATCCTCAAGCCTTTTATACAAGCAGACGCTTGTATTTCCTGAATTAGTTACGTAAGAAAGTCTAATTTGGCAAAATTCATGTTTAGGAACAAATTAATTGGCATTATTTATTTTTTAAGATTAATTATAACATAAGCATATGAACAAGTTTAAGATGCACTGTATATTTTTCAATTATAACATATGATATGTCGCACAATTGTAAATATTCATATGGGAGGTTGCTTATTAAAATCGTGTTACAAACATAGTAAATCGTATGATCTTTAACGTGATTTTAATAACAAACCTCCCATATTTAATCGTTTTTGTAAATAGGAAATCACATAACACAAGATTAAATTAAAAATATCAAGTTCAATAAATGATCCGAATTTTAACTATAAATGTCCAAGTGATTTTGCAAAATGAAAGTCAATTTTTATACTTATTACAATTTTTGAACAAATAAAGTTATCCATATAAAAAGGAATTTTTCTTCCTTTCAAATAAAATCAATAACTAATTTAGGTATGTTAACTATTTTAGAAAATCACCTCACATAAACATAACGAACATCAGATACATTATTAAACCATATTGGGAATTTCTTTAAAATAAATGTTTCGGAAAATTTTAAATGTTTATTAATCGATGCATGCATAATTTTTCCGAGGTTGTGATAGTTTTTAAATAGTAACACAATATATATTTTTTAATAGTTACAATTTCCGGAAAAAAAAATTTTTTAACTTTATATGATACTTAAGTAAAATACAGCATGTATTCTATTTCCACCCTTTCTACTGCAGTGTTCATATGAACGTATTGTTAATAAAAAGATTTATTAGAATAATTCTAAATAGAGAAATAAATTTATTGTCCTCATTCTTCCAATCTTGTCTTGATATTTTTTAGTCAAAATACCTTCGACAGATTTTTAATGTATTTGTTTCCTTATTGATTTCAATAAGATTATAAATATTAGCAAACATGTATAATAAAATAACTGTGGTACAAAATATTGATTAACTTTTTTAATAAAAAATATTAAAATTGGTAAAAGTATATATAATTAAATACTGATAATCAATAAAAATATTATAGCTTCCGTCGAAAAATAAGGGTTTTGCGCTACAAACTTAGAATACTTATACATCTCCTTTCATGGAGTTTTAAAAATTATAAAAGAGAGAAATAAATTTCAAATTTTTTACGTTCACTTAACGATAAAAGAAAAAAAAAAAAAAAAAAAAAAAAAAAGTCGATCATCGTACGACTTTTTTTAGACATCATCAAAGAAATTGCGTGATTGATTTTTACAAATACAGACTTTAATAACGTGTTTTATAAGCCTTTTTAATTTCGTAAATTCCGTAACAAATATGAATTTCATTTTCGTGAATGAAAGTTCCTATGACAATTCAGGTATGTTTAATATTTAGGTCTTAACAAAAATCTCAACAAAATCGAGACTCTGATTTAATAGACTTTGTTCTAACTTCAGAAGAATTGAAATGCCCAACTTCTGGAAAATGTTATTGTGGTAAGGAACAAAGCAGTATCGGATGGT